TATCTGCTAGCAGCAGATATTTTTCAACAGTTCGTTAAGCAACAGAACGCATATTTCAATTATTCAACTCTGCCTTTCGACTAAGGGTAAAGTACCTTTTTTAAAAAAAACATATTTTTATCTTCAGTGTATCTTTCTCTTTTTAAAGCTTCTTTCCCCAGTTCTAGCAGCAGAATCTCCATGTGAAAGCCCCGGTGCCACTGCCGAGCGCTCACAAAGCCGCTAATCCAGATAGCGCAGCTCTGGGAAATTGCAGGACTGGCTGAAACAAAAGGGCACGGCTCAGCACGCAATGCACATAATCTCTCAGACAGAGCGTAGGACCACATAAAGACGCTTGTGAACCCTCAGGGGTCTCCCTGGGCAAAGTATGGTGCCGTGCAGAGAGAAAAGAAGTGTTGGGTGGACAAAAATATCCCTGAGCAAAGAGTTCTAGTGAAAGTAGAGAGGTATGAAGGGTTGCCTCGTTGTGGTGCTGTAGCATCGTTGTTCATTCCAGTAGTGAGGGACAACAGACATTAGACTCAAAGCACTGCAATTCACTCCAGCACATTGTTTGCTGTGGCCTTTCAGGTTTCTGCCCAGTGCAAGCTTGGCCCATTTCCCTTTCTTTTTATACAGTGCACAATCCATTTAGGGATTTATAAAGGCTTAGAGGCACATGTACAGTGCCTTACCTCTATCTGATTTTCATTCTGTGATAAGAATGCTCGAGGTCATGGGTTCATTGGCACTCCTCTGCTCTCCCCCATTTGTGTTGCATTGAAATCCAATTATTCATTAATGTTTATGATTTCTCGTGGTTCATCAGCATCCTCCTCACTATCTGCAGAAATCCCAGTGTTGGCTATGAGGAATGTGTGAGCCTAGCAAAGGGTGCAAGAGGGAACAGAGGCAGGGGCATAAAGGCAAACACGATAATAAAGTGCCAAAGCTATTTATGGTGAAATGTTTGGCCTCTATCAACAGTGGCAAGATGTTCCATCATCTTGAACTCTGGGTCATTCACTGATCTTTAACAGTGAATCTTCCAGATGGTCCTGTATCTAACAAACACGAAGAATCCAGCTGACATATTTCAGTACATTTCTTCGGTAAGCAGTCTGAAGAATAGGAGTATGCTTGTTAAAGCGGGCACAAGTAATGGCTTCAAAAATGCCTCTGACTTCATAGTTAGCCTAAATTTTAGTCTCTGACAATATCCATAACTGAATCCGCTAAACATTACTCCAGCAGCGTGCCCTGGAGACACAGAGTGCCATTTCTGAAAGAACCAGAGCTGCATAGGGTAAACAACTTCTCAGAAGTCAAACAGCATCACATCAATTGTGCAGGTGTCTTTGTGCTCCTCCAGCTACTACAAACATGAATCACAGCAGAGATGCATTGACACATTCATCCATATTTGCATTAAAAACTTTTGGACGAAGGCAAGGACCCATTAGGAAGAGGTTAGAAAATGTAAATGCTATGAAGTATTTTATGTGTGGCTGTTGCAGGCTGATCCAGGGATATTTTGCACTCTGTATACTGTATATTAGTGTGCCATTTTAAGCTTTATGTAACTAACTGAAGAAGAGAAGGTCGAGTTCATGATTTGTGTAGAGTTGTCATTGTGTCAGGCACATACACTGCACTTCTGCTTTCCTGTGATGGCTGGTGGCTTGCATGGCTGCTCTTCAGAGTAGATTTCTACTCCTGGCAAGGTCAGAATCTTAGTACACACGAGTCAATGTCTTTGCTATTGTTTTGAGAATAGTTTGGTTACAAACAGAATCAAGCAAATAGTTGACTTTCCTTTGGTCAAATGGAAAAAAGTACTTTTTTTTCCCCTCAAAATGTGTTTATTTTACAAACTGTTTGACTCAAACTAGAATAATGTGGTTGGGTCAAGTAGAATGAAATATTCACTTCTTGGATGTTTCTCATCATCTCTTGTGAGTGAAAAAGACAAGAAATACAGGATTCGATTCCTAAGCAGCCCGGTAAACATGTGTAACTAAGTCAAAGTGCAAAGTCCCACTGAACTCCTCTGAGGGTCAAAGAGACAAAGCTCCTGAGCAGCAGTGCCAGCCAGATGGTATCCACCTAGCCTCCAAGCTCAGCAGGAGCTGGGGGCTGTATCCCAACTGAGGCCATGCCTCTATGCACGGGGTGGATGCACGGGCTGCCCTTCCCCTGGGCCAAGACTGGACTCACAAGGCAGTACAGGGAACTGTCCTGGAGGCAGTGAGAAGAATAGAAATGGTACATTTTCTGCTGTGTAGTCCCTCTGGCCTGGCTCCATGTTCAGACCCTTTAGCAGAAGTGTGAGTGCAGGGAAAAGGAAGCAGTGTATAGCCATATGAGCACCCATTGATGCCAGCAGACATGGAGCTGGACTTTAGGACAACCCAGGACCGTAGTGAATAAAAGTCAACACTGAGAATTCGGGTATTCATTTCTGCTTCAGCAAGTGCTCTACATTTTTTTTTACCTTCCCTGTACAGTTTCATTTCATTCAGTTGCCTGAGATTTACTTTTTTTTTCATTGTAGATTAGCATTTGCATTCAGCTCCTACTCTAACCCAGATAAATCTGGTATCCGACTTCAAGCACACAAGCATTCCAGGAAAGATGCCTTAAGCCATTAAAAGGAAATACATTATCTTTCCTATTATGAAGCTCAACATCACTCACTTGTCTTCATCTCAATAGTCCATTCTTACTTCTTCATTTGCTCATGGATGAGGCTATAGACTGAATGTCCACAAAGGACTTGGCATAAACATTTCACATTCTCCCCTGCCTGTAGAACTGGTACTGCAGTAATCAAAGGCAAAGGTATTGCAACTTTCAACTGACATTCTAAAATTTGCTTTGAGATTTTCCAGTGAATATTGTCAGATGCAGGTAAAAGGTTAGAACATATACTGTTATTTGGGAATCTAGAATGAAGGAGGTATGTTTAATTTTATATCTGTGAACAGTCACTTGATGAGTGAACCGGAATAAATGTGAGCTTATCAAACCAAGTGAAATTAAACAGTGGCTCACATTTACAACGTTTCACTTTGAATCCCTAGGAAACAATTCCCTTCCCAAACATATCAATTGGAAAACTTAAATAATAAATTCACTTGAGGAAACTGCAGTCATCTCAAAGTTAGTCTAGAAGCTGCAAAAACAGACTTATTTGCTGAAAATACTGTTCTTTGCAAACTATTCCCAGAAAGCTTTCTTGTGTATTAGAAAGGGAATAGCACTTTAATAAAATCATAGAATCAGAGAATCATAGAATGGTTAGGGTTGGAAGGGACTTTTAAGATCATGTAGTTTCAACCCCCTGCTATAAGCAGGGACACTTCCCTCTAGACCAGGTTGCTCACAGCCCCATCCAGCCTGGCCTTAAATGCCTCCAGGCTGGGGGCATCCACAACCTTGCTAGACAACCTGATCCAGTGCATTAAGAAGTTACAAAAATTTATTCCAAAGATAAGAGAAACTTTATACAGTTTATTGCAAAGACTGAGAAGTGATTTGATTAGAGCATACCTAATATCATTAGGTGAAAAGAGCAGCCATTAAGGTACCTTTTATCCCCACTGACAAGGACATATGGATCAGTGGAACTGAAAACAGATCATTTTTGAAGATAAGATGGGTACGAATTTGAACAGCACCAGCAATTAACCTTTTAAGCAAACTAATGGTGACTGATTCCTCATCTCTTGAAGCCTGGGTGACTTTGTTAGCCCAGCAAATCATTAAACTGAATCTTCGTTGATGGAATGAAATTCCAGAGGTTTTCTATGTGTTGATTCTGTGGATCCCATGCCAGTGTAAATGCTCACTCAGGATAATAAAGCTATGGCAGCTTAGACAAGGCAGAGGTCTGCTCCCAAGAGTTTTTGGAAAGGACTTCCTTGAAGAGAGATGGGTGACTTGATAAGTTGCTTTAAAATAGAAACTCATGGGTAACAGGCAGAGGAAGTGCCTTGTAAGCAAAGGGGTGGATGGGATAAGGCTGTTCTTCCTCACCATGTGGTAGGAGCAATCGCCATGAACATTCTGACAAGGTGACTGCGAAGCCTTGTGGGAAGATGCAGAGTAGAAGGACAGTAAACATGAAACTGTGGACAATACAGCAAGAGAGGGAGCTCCAAACAAGTGAGCAACGTGGCTGGCTCAACCATGTGTTTCTGCCCATGATATTTTCGGTAACGAGAAGAGGAATTCTGTTAGCCCCACGAGACCCAGCACAGCAGCCCTCTGAGCTCTTCTACGGCTCTGGCATACTGCTGCTCTTCGTTGATAGAATTCCTCCAAACAGCCCTGTGTTCACACTGTCCTTTTGTCCCACTGTCCCACTCTGTCCCCACTGGTATGCTTCCCAGATACTCTGCTCAAGCATGAGGTATGTGACCCACACCTCAACAGCACTGACCTGTGCAGTCAGACCACCATTGATTGTTAAAGTATCCAGAAAAACACAGAGGATCAAAACACTATACGGCAGATCCAAGTGGAAATGAAGACTTTTTGCTGCAAACCAATATGTTTATTAACACTTTTTAATCTATTGAAATGCCTGTAACAAATGTTACTAATACACAGGTAAGTTAGGTGATTAAAAATGACTTACAACACCTGTCTGATCAGTTGCACTACTTTGGTTAACCAGACAGAAATACACTTGTGCCATTTATGATAGATACTAACAAGGGTTCAATTTAAACCAATTAGTAAAATAGCTTGTTTGGATAAAAAATAATTGTTCTCTGAGAATACATGAACACTGCTAGAAAATCCCTGCCATCTGACGTAGAAGGATTTATAGGTTTAGTGGAAATTGCTTTCCCCACTGTCCAGATTAAATACTGCAGGATGATTTTTTGTATGAGTAAACATCCTTCCAATAACGATCAGACCGATAATGTCTTAAAAAGAGAAACAGGATCTACATTTTGGCTTTCTCCTTCTTGTATGGACTATTTCTGGACACAGAACCTTCAGGTAACATGTTGACTGTCCATAAAATGCATTTTAGCATCTTCCTGCTGTTCTGGGGATGGGTTTTATCCACTGAATGCAGAGTCCACCGACAAGGAAAAGAGATACACGAGGTATACAAAAAAGGCAGGTGAGTTTCAATTTTTTTTACATTCAAATAGCTACTGTTTGGACAAATACAATGTTAACAATCAAAATACAGTGCCTATCAATTGTTTTGAATTTGCAGATTGTGATCTATCGGTCAAAATATCCTCTTCTGCAGTTTTTGACAATCACTAAGTCCTAATGCATTTTCTATAGTGAAAATCACTGTTTCTTCCCCAAAAGTGGGGTTTTGAAATATCTCGAAGTTTGGAAAGGTGCAGAAAAGAAGCATTTGATTGTATTTATCAGGATTAAAGTGTTGTAGAGTATTTACATAATAGTGGAAAGGAAACTTCGGTGCTTGAGGATTGTTGTATTCACTGAAGATTAAATTGACTGGAGATGTGAATTGAAAAGATTCAGAATTTATTTTCTTCTTCCCATGCTGTTTGTTAATAAAGCTTTTCAGGAAAAAAAATGCAGACCTCGAGAGTATAGTCAGTTATCAAAGGAAACTGAAAGAGTGTTGAGTGAAGATACGCAAAATGAATGAAAATATTCAGTTTACTCTTCCCTCTCTCTATTTCAGAAAGGATATGCATATGATGTGTTTCTCCCACTGTCTTTTAGTCTTTTAGGAAGTTTTGAATTGAGGAAGCATTTGTTTGTTTGTTTGTTTTTCCCTGCAACTTCGTTTTTATTATTTGCATTCTGTGTGGGGAGTATTTGAAATTTTGTATGAGGATTTTCATACTCAGACACATTACAAGGTATCTCTGCAGGAAAGAAAATCTTTTTTTTTTTTTTTTTGGTAGATATAACTGACATATTTAGATCATTGTTGAAATGTTGTAAGCTTCTGCTTGTGAAAGGCTAAACCTAGGCAATCTCTGCTTTGCTCTGGTCACTGTTTCTGTTCTTTAATGACTCCAATTTGCCATCAATACTGTACGGTGCAAGGGGATAGAAATGCAAGACTACCACATTCCTGAGGAATTCAAGCCATTCCTGTTAGCTTTCAGGAAAAAAAAAAAAAATGAAAAGTGAAAGGAAGGAAAGCATAGTGCCTTTTTACTTTCCAGGGTTCCTTGCTGTCACTGCTTAGGAAAACAAGGCAGAACAACTGCAGTGTCACAGTGGTACATGAGGGTCCCTGAGCCATCTTATACACAGGAAATGGTTTAAGCACTGATGACACCTTCGTGGAGCTACAACTGGCAAAGTGGGTGCTCTGCTCATGGTCAGCCCCCAGGGATGCATTGCCAGAGTCACTGTCTGGGGGGAATCTCAAAACCTCTGTTCTCCTTGAGGGTTCATGGCAGTGACGGTGGAGGTGGTATGCTGACTGTGGCAAAAGAAAGGCATGAGAAGCAAGGTGCTTCAGTTTGAACTGAGAAGCAGTCAGCAGGGAGGAGTGTGTATATTCAGCCATGTTCTTGTCCAGCATCTTCAGCACCAGCTCCCACTGCACCAAGAACCAAGCAGCGGTGCCATTAAGTAGCAGTGTACCAAATCACAGCAGAAGCATTAAAATTGCATGAAAATGGAAAATAAATACCTATTCAGTTCACATGGGAGTAGCCCTTTTACCCACACTGGGAACACGTGGTATAATTGTGCTAGCACAAGCCTCTCAGGCTGCTCTGAGGCAGCTCCTAAGTCAGCCTCACCACCCTTGCAGCACTCCCACACTGGCCCAGGAGCCATTTCTGGCCTACTTCTGCCTGAGCAGAGCAGTGCTGTTGCTGAGGAGGGCTGGAGGGGACAGGAGAGCAGCAGTGGCTCACTGTCCATCAGCAACCCATACAGTGCTTGCCTTCCCAGTATGGGATAGGCCATGCAAGATCAATAGTCTGACAGCCTTATCATTTATAAGAACAAAAAGATGGCTCTGGCCATCCATTAGTTTTCCTTCTAACTACAAGCAATGAAGCCTTCTGCCGTACGAATTATTCTCTGTGAACTCCTAATTTCTGATAATTACCTTCAGTGCCAGATAAACAGAAAATAGTAATAATAGTATTGTAGGTATTTTTTAACCTCAGGATTCATCTGTTTTCTCCTATTCTTTGCTACCTGGTCTCTCTTCCATCCCAGCACGTGTAGGTGTATCAAACCCATTCTTCATTTCCTCTTGGATATATTCAGATCAAGCTTCTTAAATTTCTCAGCATAGGATGTTTCCCACTCCTTGGCTCTGTCCCCTCACATCTTTCCAGGGAGACAGACCCAGCAGGACTGGGTGCAGTATTTGTATGTAGATGCTGTTACTCCTGTTGACCTCCTGGCACTGTGTTCATAGTCTCAGTGGCAGTCCTGCAGTGGAGATCATGAGCACTCGACATGACTGGGCACCCAGGTGTAGCAGGACACAAGCCCTTGTCTAGAGGTACAGCCAGTCCTATTTGCTGTCACAAGCAGGATCCAATATGTTAAAATGCTGATTATATGAGACTGTTCTGAAGTAGCCATTTTTCCTTTGCATTTCAAAATAAGTGCCTTTTCCCATCACAGAAATGGAGCCTGGGAGAAAATCAGACTGCAGAAGGATTCTGTATAAGATCAGAAGAAATTTGTTATGAAGATTTCTCATGACCATTTAGATGGTTTAGGTTTGGTCAATGACTCTGCTCCCCTTTCCCTCAAGAATCAGCCCTGAAGCTCTTACAGCAATTTACTTCATTGCTTCTTTTCAAGCACTGCTATTTCTTGCTCGACAAGGCTTGAGGCACCAGGATGGAAATCCACGGAGGCTTTTTCCTTCTGAAGAGACTCATTGTAGTCTGATGGAGCAAATCAATCTGAAGTGGGAAAGGCAAGTTCCACATGGCACAAAGCACTCAGACGAGCTTAGTTTGCACCCACAGCCTTTCTAGCTTCCATAGGTCATGTAGCCTCCTACTTGCCCACCTGTCAGAGCTCAGCACTAGCCACCAGTGCTGACAGGCAGACTGGGCACCTGCTGTAGATACCTGCCTCCTTGAGTGTGGTGCCAGTTTCCTGCTGTCCTTGAGAGAATTGTCCAGCTCTACTCCTGACTCTCATGTACAGGTGATGGAGGAAATATGTACTTTTGGCTTGTCTCTTTGGATGGTGATGTTCTGCAGGTGTTAACTTCCTCCAAAGAGACTCTCTTGCTCTAAACTCTAATTTCAAATAAAACCTCACAATTTTATCAACAGTTGTTAGCCTGTCCTCTCATCTGCTCAAATCCATCTGATCCCACAGTCTTTGCTCTCCTGGTGCTCTCCTGGTGATAGGGTGAAAGGTGTGAATTTGGGCTGCAGAATCAGACACCATCTTTGTCACAATTTTTGTCACTGCGGGTACCTCAAAGCAGCCATTCTAGCATGAGGCAGGACAGGCTTGAAGTAGGATGAGCAGAGAGTCATGGTCCTTTGGGGACCAGGTTTGCAAGAGTGGAATTTTTCAGAAGGTTCCTAATAATTCCTAATAATAATAAAATTGATGATTCTTTGAGACACAAGACAAAGTATGACAATTAAGTAACAAATAAACATAGGTTGAAGTACATACATACAGTGAAAGAAGCAGTCTAGAGAGTGTTACTGTATGAGACTTTCTACAGAGGCTCTCAACATTGTAATACATAGCCAAAATATCCATATGCAAGTCAAAGACTCAACTACTGATTTCTATTTATCTCTAGGACAAATCACCTCAGAGGAATTTCTCTTTGAAGGGTAGCAAAATAAAAATAAATCATTTAACATCTTGCAGACCTGCTCACAGTTTGCAGTCAACCATGTGCAAATCCTGTAGAGTTTGCAAAGCTAAATTCATCCCTGAAACATTCACAGTGCCAAAACTCCTACAGATCCAAGCTGCAACCCTGAATGCCAGCACAGGGGCTGTTTACTGTTCCCAACTGCTCAGGCTCTTGCAGAGCCACCAGGTTGTGTGGGGTCACAACAACCAACAAAATCATTATGCCAACAAAATGGCCAAAGCCTGCATTGCTAATTAGACTTGCAGAATCTGCTAGAGAGGATGAGCAAAAGGAAAAGAACTGGCCTGGAGCTGAGCCCAGGTTGCTCTGCTAGAGCTAACTCCTGGGGGAAAAAAATCTCTTTTAACACCAAAATCTCCCTGGAAAGGATTGTAGCCACCTTTTAGACAAGAAACTCTCAGTGAAGAGATTTCACTGTACAAGATTTACGGCTTGTGTTTGTTTAATCTTAGCTGAGAGATTTGTTTCATGTTTTCAGTCTTGCCCCTGCCTTTCCTTGTCTATGTTATAATCATTCTGCCTCACTGCAGTCTCCAAATGGTAACTCTTTTTCTGCTTCTCTCAATTTTCCTGTCCATATCTGTCAGTAAAGGCTATCTTTTACAGCAGTTGGTTGATAGTCTCTACAACACGCCCTCTCAGGTTCACCCTCATGGCCCCGGATTTTTCTCTCTATGGCACTTTCAAATGTTGCTACCATTAGTGACACTCCTCTTAAGTGATGGGAGTCACTCTGCATCATTATGGCCATGGTTCCTTCCCAGTCCTTTCTGAAAGGTTCAGCATCCTTCCGAACATTTGCTAAACTACATTGCCTTTTTTTTTTTCTTTAAACAGGGCTTTTTTGTTACCAGCTCCTGCTTTCATGGCTTCCAGAGGTTTGATTTGGACTCATAAATTCATCCGTGAGCCCTAACAGAATTTCTTCCTTTACTTCCCAGCAGTTCTTAAGCTGTTCTCTTGTCCTAGAGTTTTGCTGCTGTATCTTATCCTCAGGATTGATTCTGAAAGCTTTTATTTGCAGGAACAAATCTTACTAATGCAAGCTGCCTTCAGATCGGATCTTTGGAGTACACAATAAGCCTGTGAAATGCCCATGAAAGCAATGTCTATGTGAGCACATTACCAGGAGCAATCCAGATCCAGTGGGGTGCTGAGCGCCCGCAGCTCCCAAAGCACTGTGTGTTCAGGTCAGCAGTCTGTGCTGTGCCTGGCACCAATGGCACTGCAGTGCTTTGAGAGCAGCAAGAGACCCGGAACGGGCTTCAGGCCAGTGTAATGGAAGCTTCTCC